CCCCCCCCCCCCCACCCGCCCTAGCAGCACTTTCCCAGTCCCTTACCCCCTTCCTGTCCCTGGCCCGTTCCTCTTCTCCAGCTTTTCACCCCTCCCTCCCGCAATCACTCCTCGCGGGTGATGGATGGCCGGGGGGTGACAGATAAAACAAACACTCTGCAGATCAATGCTGTAAACAGGAGCGGAGTGGAGCTGTAAATTAGCCCTGGTAACGGGACGAGCTGGCAGGGCAGTGAGGCTCTGTAGCCACCATATGCTGGGGGTGGGTGGGGGGGCACAAGATGATGGGGAGTGATGCAGGGTAGAGGCGGCCGACATGGTGAGCACTGAGGACCTTCTCACCCCACAGATGTGATCCACACCGTGGGGCCCATCGCCCAGGGCGGCGTCAGCCAGCGCGAGAGAGACGCCCTGCGCTCCTGCTACCGCAGCTGCCTGGAAGTGGGCGCGCAGAATCAGCTGCGGACAGTGGTGAGGGACGAGGGCTACCTTTTCTCGGGGGCGGGGCTCTGAGAACGACCCGGAGAGAGAAGCCGTTAAGATGCAGCAGTGCGGGGGCACCCGAAATGTGTCACCGCCGAACATCTTACAATTAGCAGGTTCCAGCAAGTAACGTTAAATGGCTCCATTTGCTCGTTTGTTTAATAGAGGCCATTTCTTTCAGTATCCCAGTTTTTTGTATTAATGTTGACTATTTAAATTGGGTATTGTAGCAAGGCTTTGGGGAAAAAGGCATTGATTTATGTTGGGTGGTGCTGAAATAGGTCTTTGGAAATGTGTTTTTTTTGGCTGCACTATTAAAGAGGATCTGGGGAGGCAGGTTAACATGCATGGTGAGGGGTGCGGAAGGCAGGGGGGGTGGGAGAATGATAAGGGATCAGTCCAAGTGAAGAGAAGATGTCATGGGAAACGAAGGAGTGAGAAGTGTGACAGGACTGCTGTCCAGACGGGATGGACTGGGGGGGGGTTACACTGCCACACTGTCACATGCAGGAAAGACTGCAGCCCTGATGGGGGCGCTAAACTTTCCAGAAGTATATAATTAGTAGATCAGAAACCCCATTGAAGGCGACATGAATGAATGCGGAGTTGGCAGCCATACTCAGTAATGGTCCTTTAAACCCACGATAAAAGCTGCTGCTTATGCACCGTATCAAACACTGAGCGTGACTTTGAAAGCAAACCGCAGATTGGCTGCGATTTCAGCTCTGCCGGCGTGTAATTCCGCCCGTTTTCTCCCACAGGCTTTCCCGTGCATCTCCACGGGGGTGTACGGTGAGTACCTGGACCCCGCCCCGCCTCGCACTCACCACCGGCGCTGTGCACACTCACGGCTCTGCCGGTGCCACCTGGCTCGCATTCCTGCAGCTTCTGCAGGACCATCAAACATCTGCCTGGGAACGTTAACAACAACAAGTTGTGACCTGATTGTTAAGAACAAACACATAGAAAATAGAATTGAGTGATTTCTGGTTCCTAATGTAGGGAAGAAAGGCTTATGTGCATTTTTAAGGACTGTGGTCATGTTCACATGTTAACTGGAGGGGAATTCAGGACCTGGATGTGTGTGCCCAGAGGTCCGAGGTCAGGTGAGGCAGTTCGTGTCTCTCACCTCCCCATCTCACAAAGAAACATTACACCTGCACAAATAATAGCAGGTTTAGAAGTTAAACCCTGAGAAGTAAATGTCGAAAGTACTTGATTCAAAAAGATCGAGTGTAGACAGCAGGTATTTAAGTCAAGAGCGAGAATCTGTGGTCTGATGAAATGCTGTGCTGAGATTCTTCGCTATATTCCTTAAAGAGACATCATGAGTACATCATGTACACAGGTTAGAATGCGCCTCGTCACTTCAGACCAGGCAATCCATCTGAAGCTAAGCAGGTTTGGGTCTGACCAGTACTTGGTTGGGAGACCAACTAGGAAAGCTGGGTTGCTGCTGGAAGAGGTGTTGGTGTGACCAAGAGGAGAGCCTGTCCTGTGCTCTGTGTGGATCCCAGTGCCCCAGTGCAGTGACAGGGACCCTATGGCCAACAGGAGAGCCCGTCCTGTGGTCTGTGTGGATCCCAGTGCCCCAGTGCAGTGACAGGGACCCTATGGCCAACAGGAGAGCCCGTCCTGTGGTCTGTGTGGATCCCAGTGCCCCAGTGCAGTGACAGGGACCCTATGACCAACAGGAGAGCCCGTCCTGTGGTCTGTGCGGATCCCAATGCCGCAGGGACAGGGACCCTATGACCAACAGGAGAGCCCGTCCTGTGATCTGTGCGGATCCCAATGCCCCAGTGCAGGGACAGTCTGTCCTTCAGATGAGATGGAAAATTGAGGTCCTGACTGTTTGAGGCCATAAAAGATCCCTGCGCCTCTTTTGAAAGCGTAGGGGTGGTACCCTGATGTCCTGGCTAAAATTGCCCACTGGGGCCCTATCAAATCTGCCCTCTTACATCCCCTGTATCTACCTGGTGAATTCTCTCTTGCCCCTTCACCACCTTAGCTACTGTGTGCTGAGTATCTTGGGGCTAAATGGCTGCCGTCGCATCACCCAGGTGGGGGCCACACAGTGGTGATTGAAGTAGCTCCCCTTTGGTTCTCTGAAGCGCTTTGGGTGCCTTGGAAAGCGCTATATAAATGTAACTCTCGTTCGTTATTGTGTAGTAGTGCCCTGCTCTCCTCATGGCTCTCTGCCTGCTCGCGTGTAACTGTGCTGGGTCACGCCGGCACCGCAAAGACAAAGCCGTAGTCAGGCACCCTGGCCCAGGGAACGATTAACAAGAGGTCTGGGCCACTTATCAGCATATTGTAGTTCTGAGAATTTTAATTAGGCAGTTGTTAATGTTTCGGATTGACTGTGGTGCTTATGTGTGGTTAATAATACTGAAGGGCATCACCAACTGTTAATGCACACGCCAAGTAAACAGTGAGAACTGGTAGATTCGCATTAAACTCATCTATCCTTCCATCTTCTAAATCAGTATTTCCCAGTCTGGTCCTCAGGGACCCGGAGACAGTCCACGGTTTTGCTCCTTCCCAGCAATTGGTAGGGAGCAAAAACGTGGACTATCTGGCAGGGAACTGGGAGGGAGCAAAAACATGGACTGTGGGTCACCGAGGACCTAAATGCTTATGCCGTACAGGATCATGAAGGGGCTGGAGCATACAGCACAGGGCACTAGACACGGGAGATCCCGGCTGGGATGCCAGGCCATTGCAGGGCACGCACACGCACATGCACACGCACGCATCCACAGTGCCACCACAGCCTAGGTGCTCGTCGTCAGGCTGGGCAGGATTATCTGGCTCAACGCTGCCATCAGACCTGAACGTTCCAGCAGGTGGGCGACGAGCTGCTCACTTTGAAGCTGACAAAAGGCGTCGTCTTACCCATGTAATCCTGCCGGCACGTAAATCGGTCACACAAATTTAACCCTAATGATATACGTTTGAATATACTACAGTTTCCTGAAATTGCTGTTATATGTTCTACTAGGTGGAACCAATCATTAACAATTATTATTTTATGAGGATTATTTTCATTAATGTTTTATTCTGTTTTGTGCCAAGCTACCTAGCAGGCTAGTTTTCACTGATGTAGTGCAATACTGTAATTTGCCATTGCATGATATAATTGCTTGTTTTGCAATCAATTTAGCCAGTTAATAAGCAGTTATATTAAATTATAATCTCATGTGTAGCTGCGCATGTGAAGTGAAACCAGTGGAACTTATTGATAAGTTACCCGTTCTGCTTTATTGATAAGAGACCTAAAACAGGCCATGTGATAAATCGTAGTTATTTTTAAGCGACTGTTCCCAGAGTTACGGCTGCGGTGCAGGCGGAGCAGGAAGGGCAGAGCGGTGACCTCCAGGCTGTGCTGTTCCCCGGCTGCGTCCCCTTCGCTGATTCAGGCATTTTAGCGGAATTGCTCCAGATGTATGAATATGCAAAGCGGCCTCTTTGGTTAAGAGGCCCGGCTGGAGCAGGTGAGAGATGGTGGGGGCCTGAAGCCTCCCGGCTGCGCGGAGCGGCGTTCCCCCCCCCCCAACATGCTCATCGCAGGGACGGACCCCCCTCCCGTCACACAGGCTGTCGAGCAGATGTTCTCCACCGGGCGCTCTGTAAACACGTCGCCTCTCGCACTGCGGCCCCCGTTTTAAATAGCGACCTGCCGTAACTCAGAGGGTTTGCCGGTGCCTGTGGCTCCGGTGCCAGCCGACCGGTAACCTGTTAAGCTCAGCATGCATTAAGCTCTCGGCGGAAGAGCCGGTGCTGGTAAACCGCCACCAGGCCTTCTGTGCGTGGCTGTGATTGGGGTGGGGAGTGTCTGTTCCCCTTCCCTCGTCGCATCATGTGCAAATCGCGTGGCCCTCGTGTTCGCCGGCACCCCCCATCCTGCATGCCGGCGTGGACTGGGCAGCCAGTGCCATCTGCTCATTGCCACGCTGTCGCCGGCAATAACCGGACGTGGCACAGTGTGCCCTGATAGGTCCCTTCACCGCCGCTGCGCTCACTGCAGATCCGGGGCCCATCTGGGGTGGTGGCCAGAGGCTACAGCCGTTTATGGGCTGGAGAAAACTTTAACACATGTTGTGATGAAGAAACACATGCGTTTGATGTGGCTTCATGGTAAGTGGGGTCATCTGATCACATCACCCAGGCTGTGTTACCTGTCATGTGACTTGGGTGCATGTGATAGGTTGCTGTAAAGCCCCTAAAGCAGTGTTTCCCAATCCGGTCCTCGGGGATCCACAGACAGTCCCTGTTTTTACTCCCACCCAGCTCTCTACCGGTAGCAAAAATGTGGATGGTCTTGCAGGGAGTTTGGAGGGAGCAAAAACATGGACCGACTAGGTCCCCGAGGACTGGATTAGGAAACAGTGCCTTAAAGGCATGAGGAAGGTCACTGCCGGGTCAAGGGCTGTGCTAATGGCTGTGCTAATGGCTGTGCTCTGTGTGCAGGGTACCCCCCGGGCGAAGCTGTGGACGTGGCCCTGAGCGTGGTCCGGGAGTACCTGCAGGAGAAGCACGCACAGGTAGGGCACCCATCCCACACCCCCCACCGCTGATGCGGCCGTTGCTAGGCAGAGGACTCGCTGCACGGGGACGGCCTAACAGGAGGGCATGCAGCCAGCCCACACGCCTAATGAAAGCTGCCTTTTAATTGGCTCCGGGTGGGACCTCGGTGATGACGATGTGCTCACCGTGAGGGGGGGGGGGGGGTAGGCATGTGGGAGATGGCGCACAGACACGTCCCTCAAAGCCAGCTTCCTCGCGGAGCACGTGCCGATCGACTCCCGCTCCTCTCGCCACCCCTACTCTCTCCATCCCATTTTGCCCCCCCCCAGCCCCATCAGCCCTCATTCTGCTGCTCACTATTCACAGTGTTGTTCTCACTCCACAGATGTGTGAAATGACTAATTAAAGATACCTAATTAAAGATTCCTAATTAAAGTTCTCGTTTTCCACATCACTGCATGGCTTCTGGAAGTTTCTGGAAGGGGGGGGGGGTGGGGAGGAAAAACAAATTTCGGGGTAGTGGGGATTGCCTGTCACCGTGCAGCGTGTGGAGGAGCTGAAGCTGTTTGTGTTCGACCACATGTGGAGTCGGCGAGCGTCCGGCCTGCAGTTCCCAGTCCCGAGGCCAGTGACCCTCTGCACTGCTGCCGTTTACAGGCTCTGTTTAGCTGCTGCTGTCTGCCGGCTATCAGTAACTATGTGCTAACAGTGCTAATGGAGCTATGCTAGGCAGTGGGGTTCTTTACAGTGGACCGGTCATTAGCTTACCTCATGTTGTGTAGCGTAATGTAGCTTAGCATTATTGCTGTCATGCCACTGTGCTGGGGGAGCGGGGGGGGGGGGCTTTTAGGTTTAGCTACACACAAAGTGTAACAGCATGGGGCCCCCGGAGGGAACCGGAGTGGCCCCCGTCTCCCGGCACGGCCCTGCCGGCCTCGCACCCCCTCATCCGCGGCTGTCGCTGTGTCCATCTCCCCAACAGCTGGATCGCGTCGTCTTCTGCGTGTTCCTGAAGTCCGACGAGGAGCTGTACCAGGCCAGGCTGCCGCTCTACTTCCCCCGCGGTGAGTCGCCAAACGCAGAGCCGTGCGTGCTGTCACACCGGACACAGCACCCCCCGGCGCCGCTGTCAGCCCTGTCACACAACATGCTACACAGACACTCAACCGCTCAGCCATCGCGGAGCTGCAAAACAGCACTACAGGATACGGCGACACGCTGTCCCCGTTTGATGGGACTTCTCCACCCAGCTCGCATACTCTTTAGCCGCACAGGGTCGCGGTGGGCCTGAAGGCTGTCCCCACAGTCCCAGAGCACGAGGCAGTGCAGTGCAGCACGTTAGCTCATCGCAGTGACTGTCATGCCACTGCAGTGTCTCAGTGGGGCTGAGCAGGAGGGCGGAGTGGCTGTGAAATCGCGGCGAGCGCAGGTGTTTTTTACCGTGGTCACATTACGGTACACATTAGCCCCGACCGGCAACGTAAAACATCTCGGCCACGCAACTGGGGCCAGAGTAATTACGTTTATTGGGCCCAGTAAATTATTCATGGGGCCTCTTTGCATATGAGTGCCGCTGTGTTTGCCCTCACTTATGCATATTCAGACAGCTGTGAATGCTGCTTTGAATGTATTACACTCCCATGTGTGTTTGCTATAGTTAATGAAATCACTGTTTTTATCTCCCCCCCCCCCATGTGACTGTAGCCTTTTGACCAATCTGAGAGCCCGATTCAGTGACAGGTAACCTGCATGGCCTGTAAGGTGTGCGCGTGTCATGGCTGCTGGATTAGTCGGCGTATTAGCGGCATTTATCTGGTTGGAGATGCACATTCAGCTCGACTAGCTCACTAACAAATCTGCGGCTGGTAAACAGCATGCTGCATATTTAGGGTGCTGAGTGACACCCACTGACTGAGAGATTCACACTGCAGCACTAACTGGGGGGTGGGGAGGAGCCGGCCGGTTGCTCCCGCTCTCGGAGACTGACTCGCCGCGCCGGTTGTTAAACTGCCGCCTCAGTCCGCGTCGGCTTCGGAAAGCTGTCTGCTCCCGGGCCATTGCGAGTCCTGCCACCTGACGCAGGGCGACTGACACGCCGAGCGGAGCGGCTGTGACACGTCGAGCGGAGCGGCTGTGACACGCCGTAATGAGAGCAGAGATGACGACGCTGTGTTTCCCACAGGCCCTCAGATGAAGAGTAAGCTGTGAAGGTTTGCCATGAGGAGGGAAGGATCCACTTATCGGCTGACTGCCGCAAACTCCTCCCCGCTCCTCCTCGCCCCCTCTGGCCCCCCCCCCCATCCAAATCCAAATGCCGATCACATTCTCAGCGAGATCCACCAGCGTGCAGAGCTCTATACGCCCATGAAATGTTTCTTTTTACCATCCTAGCATCACACAGTGCATCAAAGGAGAATCACTGTGGCCACAAGGGGGTGTGGTGGTGCAGGAGCACAGTGGCTCCTTTGCTCCAGCGTTACCACGGTAGACGGAAAACAGCTGACGGCTGCTCTGGTGCCAGGAGGAACCGACAGAAGTAAAATGGGAAAGTGGGATAAATTGGGTAGCTAGAGCACATGGTGGGATCTATACCATCTCCAGCTGTGCTGAGCTGTGTGTTTATGTCCGCATGTCACCATGGGTGAGGAGCTCGGCTAAAGAACGGAACAGCAATAAAGTGCGATTCGCATCTCCCAGCTCTGCACAACGGTACTGCTTTACGGCCACACGGGCCCAGAGGCTCATTATAAGATATAATCATTCAGTAATGTATTTTAATTATGTTAAGGATACCATTGTGATCTTTGGAGTTGATAGAGATGGGTGTGTTATGTAAACGATACGTTGTGGGGAACAGATGTCCCCACAATGGTCTAAAAACCTGCTAAAATGTCCCCGTGAGGGGAATCTCAATTTTATAAGGGTCTGTGATTGCAATCGAAAAACTAAAAATGTCTTGTATTATGTTTGGTTAGTTATGGTTAAGATTAGGGCTGGGTAGGTGGTTAAGGTGTGATTAAGGTTTTTCCCATAGAGATTAAAGGAGAGTCCCCACAATGATAGGAATACAAACGTGTGTGTGTGTGTGTGTGTGTCTTGGACTGTTCAGTTTAATGGTTTCTTCACTCCCCCACAAATCTGCTTTCTCTTCTTAACCTTGAATGAAACAAGCCCCCCAGTAACCCTGTCGTTCTTGCTGCAAACCTGGGGAGCCTCTTCATGCATACATGCGTATATACATTATTGGTTGCAAAGAGGAATTCTGGCACCTCACAGACTCCCTCCACATCTCATCTCTGTTTTTGTCTTGGTAAGTTTAACATTTCTTATTGGCAGGAAAACTGTGAGTAAATGCAGCTGTGACATGTATTTATATGCATGTGATTCGCAGTGAGACAGAGTAACGCAGTCCTGACATTATACACTGATTACGGAAGGAAATGAGGTGACCAGTTTAATGATAATTGAATAACTCAGCCGCTAATAAATCTGTGTATAATGCAGTCACACTGTGTCTCTCGAAAATTAATTGTGGGGTGTTTGGGATTGCCCCCCTCCCAGCCGTGAGAATTTGCGGGGGCCCATCAGTCTGAGCGGCGCAGGTGTCAGCCTGTCTGCAGATTGAGCCATGGGTTGGTACACTCTGCAGCCTGAGCTCCATTACCGGGGGGGCAGGTTAGAATGGGTGGGGGGGGCAGGTTAGAATGGGTGGGGGGGGCAGGTTAGAATGGGTGGGGGGGGGGGGGGGGGGCGGGGGGGGGGGGGGGGGGGGGGGGGGGGGGGAGCAGACCCCGTGTGGTTTGTACGTGTCGAACGACGTGCGCTTACAGCTTCCCCGTCCTCCCGTCTCAGCGGCCCCCCAGCAGCGCCCCGGCTGCCGTCCTGACCTCTGCCGTTTGGCCGTTATGTTCTCCAACCTCTTCCCTCCCCCGTGTGTCTCCTAGCATCAGATCATACACGTAGGCAAAGACCCCCCGGCAGTGACACGATTGGCTGTTTTCAGGAGAAACGCCTCGTCACACTTCAAGCTGCCCCCCCCCCCCAGATCTGTGACTCTACGAATCATTTACCTCCCCCCAGCTGTCAGCTCTCATTTTACAGCCGTCGTCTCCACTCTGGTGTGTCCTTCCTTATGCTTCAGCTTCCCTCTCTGCGTCAGTGTGACTGTACAATAAAAAGGTGTTTCCAGCATTTCATATTTGCTATTCCAATTATCGCCAAATGCATTTCCTGCAAGCCCATCACCCACTTCATACCGTTGCTGGACGTTCTGTGGTGTTCAGGTTATGGCGCGTGTTCAGCGGTGGCGCTCCTCGTGTTTTGCGTTGCACTGGACCGCGCAGGGAACCGACACTGAGCTTTGCACCCTGAGGGCTTCCTGTCACGTTTCAGCTTGTAAGCACTTCATCAGTATGATAAGCATCTGGCGCTTTATGTTGATAAAGCAATAATGCAGTGAAAGGGACAGTCGGTAAATAAGACGGCTAATGAGAAAAGTATTTAAAAGTCAGCCCTGAGTCTGTGCCCTCCCGGGGTTTAAAATTAGGCAGCAAGTGACACACATAATGGCTGATTCTGCTCACATGCTACCTTCCTCTAATATTTCTATTTTCCAAGGAACATATTAGGAGTAGAATTACCCCTGTCACAGATATGTACAGGTCATTTCCTCTAATCTGTCTTTAATTTTCAGGTGCCGTGTTTAAGCGGCTGAGTGGGAAGCTTTGGGGACATTTTCTTTCTTTGCGGTTTGGGATTATACCGTATTTGTATTGAGATTTTAATTGGGTGTTGGGCTTGTCATGGGGTTTATAAGCTGCACAGAATGCCGTGTGCATCTCATCCCTCGGATGGTTTAAAGCAACATTAACGAAGTTCCCCGAGACACTGGAGAGCTCCCAGGAATCCGGCCCCACACTGGCTCCCTGGGTTTGGAGACCTGCCACTGGAACTGTATGGAAGTTGATTGTCAGGTCTCAGGTCTGCCGGAATCGCTCCGGGATCCTCCTCGTGGAGCGGGCGGGGTGAATTCGGGGACAGCGAGCAGTTCCTGCTCCACCTGGCCAGCATGGGTGACTAGCGCGTTCTGTCTACCTGCTTCAGCACTTTGATACAAATCAGCTGTCACATGGTCTCTCCAACTCCCCACTGAAGATGGTCGTGTTCCAGTGTTGTTTCTTTCATCCCGTTCTTGATCCGTCCCCCCCCCCCCCCCCCCCCCCCCCCCCCCC